CCTACGGGTATACTTTTGTTTGTTTAACAGGCGGTTTCACCAGCAATTTAAATGGTAAATGATTTTTTTATTTTCGGAAATTGGCTGTCATATTGATACATTTTTTTTTTAATTTCACAAATGTAGATTTTAAAATTTTATGCAAATTTAAGAAATATGTCAACAAGGGGAGGGGGGGGCAACATTTTAAAGAAAGAGCCCGTAATATGCATGTGAAGATGCTGAGAAAAGAATACGAAAACTTTATAGCACTGGCCCAGTGGAGAATAAATGCAACATTATTTGAAGAAAAGAAAGCGCTATAATAGCGTTGATATTGAAATTGACACTGAAAGGATAATAGAAAGATACGCAAAAGCAAAAGGCAAAATTGAGTTTGAAATTTAAATTATTCTAATCGAAATTCGGAATAAATTGTTATGTTACGTATAACTTTTTATATTGTGTTTTTTTACAAAATATTTAGTGTAATTGTTTTATAATATATGTTTTATAAACTTTTATTACAGGGACTCTTTAAATGGACCTTGCGCCGAATTCACAAAATGAAACTTCCTAAAACTAAAATTATATCACAAAACACTTTACTTGACACGTCATAAAAATTACTCGAACCTATATTTGCATGAAAAATAACTTCAAGCAGGTTGAATGCTTGTAGATCATATAGCTCGAACTTTGATTGGTCACTCCCGGATGACTGAAGTTAGATGCATGTAATTTAACGTTATTTGACAAGTTTATCCCAATCGCCCCCCTCAAGTAAAATCCTGTATCCGCTACTGATATACATATGTACATTAGGGTGGTCCAAACAAAGTAAAGCCGGAATTTAAATGTTCTCACCATTTATATTTATTCTATGTATGTACATCGAAAAACCCATTGGTTTTTTTTTAACAAAATATATTTAAGGTTCACCCAAGGCGCTCAAAGTGTCCCATGTATTTTTTGTCTGAAAAAAAAACAATTTACGTAGAAATGGTATTGAATCTGTATTTTTCAATCGACAAACTCAAGGGTTTATACCCAATTGTTTATTTAATATTTCTTAATATTAATTATGTATTTTCATAGGTCACACAAAAACACGAAAAATGCAATGGGGACCCATGAAAATTGTTAATATTACAAAATTGTTAAATAAACTATTTGGTAGTATTTTTTGAAGTCGTATGAAAAGAAATAGAGTTGGACCTTTAAAAAATATTTAATTTCAAGGATTGTATACCATTTCTACGAAAAATAGTTTTCCCGCATATAAAAAACACGTGAAACTGTTAGCACTTTAAACGACCTATAAATATTCTTTATTTAAAAAAAAAATCCTAAAGGGGCGAGAACTTTTTAAGTTCCGAGTTTAGTTTTTTCGCATGCATTTTTGGACCACCCCAATGGGCACATATAATAAAATAAATTTTTTATTGGCAGTGGGGCGATGAAAAAAAGCAAACACAAAAATAACTTGTCAACTCTCCAACTACGAATTGAGCACTTGCTTATCGCACCGCACATAATTTCTTATGCGCGTGGCTGCCTCAATTCAACTCTCAGGAGAGTGCCGAACCTATCGCCTGCCAGGACGCACATCCAGCGCACTAGAACAGTACGACATGGAGGCGAGGCAAGCGATTATCCGAATTTTAATTTGCTCTATCACAAGTGTAACGCTGTTTAAATTAATTTATGAAATCTAAACCGCTGACTGCTTGTGAATAGCGTTCTACCGAATGATTACTAGTTATGCACATTTTTATTTAATAAGAAAAACAAACACACATCCTTTCCATACTAAATTTGACAGAACCAAGCACAAGCGCGCGCGACTTGAACCATAGCCGCGAAGAACAAGCAAAAGCACTAAAAACTACCGCCAGCTCATCAACAAACTCGGCCAACACAGCTAGCCACGCGGTGCTGGTTGATTCGTGTAGTTAGAGTAAGCATTTATCGCACATAGCAAAGGCAAGTCTCAATTCTATTTTTGTATGAATGCTTTTTGTTTTGCTTGAACAGTCGAAAAGGCTGTTGAGAATTACATTGGCTAAAAGATGTGGAATAAGTTGGCCTTCCATATTTATGCAGGGAAGTAAAAATGTAAATTAAGGATAGAATAGAACTGAAAAAATTATATAGAATTTAAAAAGTTAGTGAGAAATATTGATTTCAATAGATTTGTAAAATGTGCATACATATATACTCAGGTTTGTACATAAGTTTATACATACATACATATGTACATATGTATATATATTTATATAAATTGATAAGACTACATCATATAGGATTTGGTCTATTTACATAAATGTGTACATAAATTTGTGCATTTTGATACGCATATATTCATAGGTACTAGGTATATATGATATATAAAATATCTAGAATTCAGATATTATAGAATTATTTGAATAATACCTACGCACATACATACACATATGTACCTATGTACATATGTATATATGTATGTATATGTATGTACCTATGTATGTACATAAAATCTTATTGTGCCTCTCTAAATTAACTTTATTGTATTCTTTTGCTATATACATATCGCACACCGTATTCAAAAGGGTCACAACTCAAAATAATACGTTCGTCAGAAAATGCAAAAAACTATTTCGTATCACATGCTAAACATACATATGGGCAAGGGCGACTTTACCTTGGGTTTTTTTAACAAATTATAACAAAAATTTGCTCCAGATTTTGCTGAAAGGTAAATAAAAGCTCTGTGTACATTTTTAGCGCATAATTTCAAAAATGCCATATTTTGCGTTGTGACTCTTTCGAAGACGGTGTGCGATATGTATGTATATACAAACACATAGTTACCTTAATATAGAAAGGCGCTATCTCACATCGTCGCTGAAATACAAAAGCCGTAACTAACTAAATATCCAAAATTTACTTTCTGATTGATTATGTATGATACATTTTATCAAATTATAAGTCCACAAATCGTTTTATGCAATAAAATATTTTAGTTAGTTACGGCCTTTTTTGCATTTCAGCGACGTTGTGAGATAGCGCCTTTTTATATTAAGGTGGCGATACTCAACTAGATGTATGGACATAACAGTGACATAGACCGGTTCTGTCAATTCATTGATGCAAGAAAAGTGAAAAAGCGGGTTTTCTGATTTTTCTTGTGTGGAAAGTAAGTAAACTAAACCGCTTTGATAAATATAAAGTAGATTGATTATTCTCCAGCTTTAGAATCAAAATATACATACTATACTTACATATGTATGTATATGTACATTCGGGTGGTCCAAAAACAGTAAAGTCGGAATTGTAATACTCTCACCCCCTAGGATTGTTCTATATCGAAAAAAGTATACCCCAGGTCAAAGTTTTCCATGTATTTTTATATGGGGAAAAAACAACTTTTCGTAGAAATGGTATAGAATTCTTTAAACCCAATATTTTTCGATCGGAAGCTCTGGTTCTCTTCAGGAGTCTTTCAATAATAATACCCAATTGTTTATTTAATCATTTTTTAATACTAACGATTTTTTATGCATCCCCCCATTGCATTTTTCGGGATTTTTCTTTGGGTTCTTGGCGGACCTATAAAGTATAGTTGCGATGAAAAAATTTTTAAATAAACAATTGGGTATTATTACTGGGAATCTCTTGCAGATAAACCTAGTTTTCCGATAGAAAAATATTGATTTTTAAGAATTCGATACCATTTCTACGAAAAATTGTTTCTTGCCCATATAAACTACATAGAAAACTTTGGGCGCTTTGAGCGACCTCTATGTATATTTTCATTACAAAATAAAAAATAGGGGTATCCTTTTTTTCGATATAGAATAATCCTAGGGGGTAAGAGCATTACAATTCCGACTTTACTTTTTCACATGCATTTCTGGACTACCCTAATATACATATACATATGTAGTAGGTTTATTACAATTATTTATATGAACATATACATATACATACGAGTTATGTAACTTTATCGACAAGTGGCATGCACAGCAACTGCACACAGCTAGCACGATTTCAATAGCCATATTCATAAAAAGTAAAATAGGGCTATAGAGGTTTACAAATTTTCCTTTTATAAAGCAGTTAAAGTCTTCTTTATTTTTTATGAATTTGGGGGTAAATGTTTGCAAATCACCACATATGTACATATGTAAATGCATACGTACATATGTATACCTGTGTTCAACTAATTAGCACCGAAATTAAAAATGATAAATATAGTTTGCAACTCATGATTATTTATTTATCTTTAATAATTTTAATTTAAAATATAATTCAATCTACAACGGAAACCACATAAATAAAAGTTTCAAAGCTTCCACAAATTTAAAAAATTCATCAAACTTAAAGTGTTCATCGAAATTTCCAATTTTTTAATCAGAATATTTCGAAAATGTTCGATTATGCAGTTTTGTAACGCATGATCAAGATCTATTTTTACATGACAAAAAAAATCCGCAACACCCTCTACAAAATAATTCTAAAAAATCAACGGTAATTTTTAGCGACTTGAAACGTGCAGTTTATTGGACTAAAATTGAATGGGCTAAAAAATGGCATATTCGAAAATTTTCTTAATATTCTGATTAAAAATTTGGAAATTTTGATGAAATTTTTTTATGTTTGACTATTTTTTTTAATTTGTGCAAGCTTTGAAACCTTTATTTATGTGGTTTCTGTTATAGATTGGATTATATTTTAAATGAAAATTATAAGAAATAAATAAATAAACATATGTACTAAATTGCAAACAATACAATTTTTAATTTCGGTGCTAATTAGTTGAAAGCATATATACATGCATATATATGTATGTACGTATGTATACATTGAACTAAAATTTTAACAAATGTATAGATATGAATATGTATATGTATGCATGTACATATATTACGTATGCGAAAAATATCATTCGCAGGACCAAAAGATAAATTGGTGTTTAAAAATGTCCACAAGATTTTCCTTATACATACATACATACATGTGTGTGTCGTTTTACTTACCTGTTTCCTTCATTACTCGTTCATCTTCCGTAAGCACAGTGAGTGCTGACATGGCACCTGTTCCGCTGGACATACATTGCTGCTGGCGCTGGACTGCATTAACAATCTGAGGATGGAAATATACGTACATACATACATATGTACATATATATGTACACAAATCCAAATTTTAAGGTATTTTTTATATACACTTAATAAACACAAATTTTTCCACACATAAAAACATAAATGTGTGTATGTATGTATTTGTAATACCACATTTTTTGCGTCTCTTGCCAAAGAACTCACTTACCATACGCATCGGTGTTTTACGCAGGTAACTCATATTTCACCTTTTGTATAAAATTACTCTACTAAAAAAACAAGAGCTAAGCATAAGCTTTTGGAATCACTATGAAGAGAACGAGCAAGCAACAGCAGCTTTTGCACGACCAAAGCGAACTGAAAACAAATATCTAATAGAAAGATCACTTAAGGCCCGTTTACATACAACTTTGGCGTTGCGTTGGCGTTGGCGTTGGTTTGACAGAACGCACGTTAAAAGTATGCTTGCTACAATGAACGCTTGGCGGCGAATCCTTGGGCCACTAAATTAACATATTAACGACAGATAAATTAATATTTCATATCAATAATTGCATTAAAAACGATATTTCTTGCCCGCACTTGATTA